ATATGTTTAAGTAAGTTGAATTTTGAATAACCATGACTGCCATGACAAATCAAGATTCTGGGCAAAAAGGACACTTTATTAAACTATGCAGTAAGTTAAAGTTACAAAATATCATTTACTGCATTGTTGTCGTGGAGGTGACGATACCACAAAGCGTTATTCTACAAAGTAACTGAAGAACACAAACGCGCAAAATAAACCATTAAGGTCCATTATAGGATTATAGAATTAGAAACCATGCCTTTCTACAAAATTCACATACACTTTGTCCACGGCAGTACACCGGTAATTGAGCATACATTTGACATTAACATTATGTAATTTCTTCTAAACAAATTATGTATAATAAAACCAACAAATCACCAGATAAGTATTATTGAAACCCAGCACAACGGATAGTCAGGATACATTGCATGAAAACCGTACAATTCTGGATTTTGACACATCAGTGAAATGTCAAATCGGTGAGAGCCATTACTTTTGTCTATTTTCATTATCCACAGTAACCCGAAATCGAGTCCGAACAGCCGATCAAATGGCTGCCACTTGGCAAGGCCAACGGAGTTCGCGTTACTGACCTGATGATGCGAAATTGTCGGAAATGTACGGTCACCACGAGTTGAACAAACAGACACATATAAAGCCAATGGTGTTTGGAGCATAGAAATGGTCAGAATAGCTGATGAAATGTTTTCAGATGAGTCCGGGTTCACTCTGGGCTGTTTCGATATACGTTGACGTGTCTTGGGGCGTCTTAACGAACTAAGTTAGGCGTTATGGCAGATTTTGGGATGGTTCTGTTATGATATGGGACGGAAACACCATGACTGTCCATGACACTACCGGGACAAATATCACTGTGCAAATAGTTTGGGCGTGTCTTTCGTGCACACAGTGCCCTATCGTCGCTCAATATCTCCACACAAGAAAATATTCCAAGAATTGCAAAATTAACAAGTTTGTGACGTTTATATCAGCAAACATTTACAATTTTGTAAAATTAGTATATACAAAATTGTAATTTCTTTGTAAGTTTACAAGGATTTTACCAGAAATTCTTTCAGTTTCTCCTTTTCCATTTCCCATGGATCACCTGATTTAATGTCTCCCTGATGTCAATGCCAGGAAGGGTGTATAGACTATTTCAAGTATCTCTTTGTTCTATCTTAGCACTAACAAAAGAAGTAAACTCAAATATATAGATAGGAGTTTAAAGTCAGCCAGCTCATCACCTGAGATTGCACTTCATATTTAGATATTGTTGGGTACATAATGTCCATATTTTATATGTCACTTGCTGGGAATGAAGCCTATACTTGTTTGCAGTAAACGTGTTTAGATTAAACCTGTTTGAAACAGTACCATGAACGTCTGGTTGACCTGCTTAACGTGGTAACTACTGATGGAGCCGCCGCTGAAGACCAGGTTTACTTCATTTCCGGTGATGGTAGCCGACAGGCTAACTGCCAGTACCACTGCGATTATTTGCATGCTGTAAAGTTAAAAGTAAGAATTAGCACGTTCAGTACGTGAATTGATACATATGTTCATTTGAGCAAATCTTTCCTCTTGCAGTGTTGCTTTACTATCACAAAAGCTTTGGCTTTACAATGGAGTGTTTGAAATCATGTCAGAAAATACCAATCAAATATGCGCCAGGTCTGTATCAGGGCATGAACATGTGTTTCCATTTTATCAGACATGTTTGGCTTTGGGCTTTGGTAATATACCCAAAGGCGGAAATTATTGTGATACAAAAACAACAAACAAATTCAGTGTTAAACTTTTACTGCTGCGATGGAAATGTTATTACAGGGAAAGACAGATGGTTCGAGATATGGTAACAACAGCGCTCCTGGTATATGCAAATGAGCCACAACACAAAATGATGGTTCACAAGCAGGCTTGGCGCCTCAGTGAGGCCACTAAACGTCGAGGAAGTATTTGGCGGACGTACTGCAGAGTTGTCGGACGGTTCGGATGATGTTGAAAACGTCGCTCCATTTCATTCCACACGTGTCCAATGGATGACAAGTCAGTGGATCTACCGGGCCAGGGTAACACATTAACACGTTCTCATTAAGATAATGCTGCACAACTCGTTATCGTTTTGAAACGTGACTCCAGGGCCATTCTGTTGCCAAAACGGTAAAGCAGCCATTTCCAAAACCTTGTGTCGGTACCTCACAGTATTAAAGCTCACTCAGACACATTCACTGGCGTCCATGCTGCCGCAACCCAGGCATAAAGCCACCACCTCCAAACGATCCGTTTTCAGAACACATAGCTTGATGTAACGTTAACCTGTGCACCTGTAGACATGGGTCCCGTCGTTAGCTCAGTGAAGAAGGAAACAATGAGTTATCAGTGAAGAGAACTCTCCTCCACTCCGTGCTCCCTATCAAGTGTTGGTGTCGATGTTCTGGCGTCAGAATTGGCCGTCGGCCTGGGTGTCTTGTACGGATGTCGTAGACGTCAAAGAGCTGTTCTCACATATACACATCCGTTGTCAGGTATGGTGCGGGTTGCAAGGATTGCTGGCTGGAACCTGTGTTGGTTGTGTGTGGTTATAATCCACAGGTCTTGACGTTGGGTTGTTACTGGTGGGCTATAACGTGATTGTTATGATGAAAACGTTACCATAAGTGCCAAATCATGTTTCTATGGACGTGGAATCGGCAAACAACGTCACACTGCGAGATACTAGAGTAAAGACGTACATATAGCTCTCCATCGATCATTTTCCCACAAGTCGTGGCATATCGAACTTGTTCCAGAAAGCTGAATAGGCTTTTTTTTGTCTGGCATTGCTGACCATTCTTGCCAATGCCTTGCAATTAAAACAACAGCAATTTGCTTACGTTTTATAACAAACAAATCCAAAAGTTCATGCCCATGATTACCAATGAATTCCTTCAATTTCACAATAATTTGGTCGGAGTGTATATGACATTGTGAAATAATTGCTTCTGATCTGGTCTAGAAGAGGCATCCCTTTTTCTTCCGATACCTCATATAAATTAAGCCATTTCACACGAAAAAACTGTCTGTGAAAACATCGATTTATTGACAGCTTAAGCAAATGGCTGCCGAACACCCGTTAGAATATTGTAATATTGTTCCATATCTTTATTATCAGTTAACAGTCAAGCTCTATGTTTGTTCTGCCTGTATAGGCGCCGTTTCAAATGATGTCGCTTTGAAAAATGGGAACATGCTCTTGATGGGTGATTTTAACATTCATTAACCTTTTAAGCTGTTGGAGTCACATGGTCTTACCCAGCTACTCACAGGAATGGTCACACTTGATTGGATAGATATGGTGAGAAGATATGGTGCAAAATATCCTCATTGAAGATAGACAATCATCTGATCACTTTTGGATAATTGTAGAACTCAGTTTTCTCAAACCAGCTGAGGAACCTGTTGAAGTTCAGTGGAGAAATCTTAAGCTTGTTTCCCGTGAAAACTTTGCTGGGGATCTTCGGTCTTAAAGTTACTCACAGTCACAGAGCCTTGAGAGGATGTGAATGAACTGGCTGATCTCTAAAACACTGGTTCAACTCTTGGATTCTCATGCCCCTCGTGTCACAAGATATAGGCGACTCAGGCATGAACCATAGTGGTACAATGATCAGATACTTCTCACTAAAACCAACAGGCGCAGGGCGGGAGCATAAATGGAGGAAAACGAGGCTTCATATTCATCGGCAGATGTACAACATGCCTCGTAATGAATTAAACCAACTGATTAGTGATATGAAGTCAAGGTATTACAATGATAATGTAGTCTCAGCAGAATTCCAAAACACTCTTTATTTATCTGTTTTCCTTACTTGGAAAGACGTCAAGAACTACTCTACCTAATATGGAAGATGAGTAGGCAAGTTTTCCCCTGAGTCAATTGCTGTAACTGGTGCTGTCTTTCAAAGTGAGAGTTTTGATTCCTCGATCAGCTCACAGAGGAAGAGATTCTCTGCATAACTAAATGCGTGTGAACTTGATCCAGCACCTACTAATTTTGTCGCGGAATATCTAGACATTTTACTGCCGGTGTTCACTGAAATTATCAATTTAAGTTTGAAATGTGGCATTTTTCCAGATTGTTTCAAGCACGCAGTTGCGAAACCCTTGCTAAAAACCTGGTTTAGACTCTACCTGTTTCAATAACTATAGGCCTGTTTCCAATCTTCCTTTTCTCTCCAAGGTACTTGAGAGAGCTGTGAAGGTGCAATTTGGACAGCAGTTGAATAAACATCTCTGTCACAAATTCCAGTCCGCCTATAGGTCATTTCACAGCACGGAAACAGCCCTGCTCTGTGTTGTTAATGATTTGGAGTGGAGCGTTGACAGGGGGGAACTCAGCTGCTCTTGTTCTCTTGGACTTATCGGCCGCGTTTGATACGGTGGATCACCAGATACTTCTATCAAGACTTCAGTTACGGTATGGGTTAAACGATACGGCTCTTATGAGGTTTAGGTACTACTTATGAAACAGGACTCAATCTGTTGATGTTCATAATGCTCTGTCTGAGGAATCTTTACTTCTTTGTGGTGTCCACAGGGATTGGAACTCGGTCATGTATTGGTGCACCACTTTGTGAGAAAGCTACTTATCAGCATAGCTTTCTATGCTGACGATGCGCAGTTGTTTCGATGGTATTACCAGGAGCAATGACAACAGTTCCGACTTAACCAGAATTGAAGATGCTGTTGACTATATTGGATGTTCAACAACAAAATGAAACTAAATGAACACAAGACAGAGGTCTTGGACGAATCAGATATTTCCTGACACTTGATGCTGCGTTGCTCTGGTGAGATTCTCTCACGAGTTGACTATTGCAACAGTTTGTTGGTTGCAGCTTCACAAAAGTCCATCCAAAAGCTTCAACGAATCGAGAACGCAGCTCTGTATCTGTATCTTCAAGAACACCACTCGCTTACATGCAAAACAGACCTCTGCGTTCATCATCGTCTAACCTGCTCTGTGTACCACAAATCATTTGGATACAGGTCTTACCAGAACATACGGCACCGGTCAAATGGAATTCCCTCCCTGATGAACCTAAGCTTTATCCAACACTTCAAAACTTTAAGTGTCATCTCAAAAACTTTCTCTGTAAATTTGTTTCATATCAATTGATTTCATTAATACTTTATCCATTGTTAGCTCTATGAACATACCTGGTGTGGAGTTTGGCACTATATATATCAACACATTATTATATTTTACAGATTAAAGATAGTATGCAGCAGACGGAATTCAGGTGATCCTGGCACAGTCAGGCTGGTAAGGCTCATCATCAGCTCTGGGCCCTCGCCCCCTCGACACGCAGCCCAGACAGCGAATGGGACTTCTCCCAGGAAGCACTGCCTAGTCGACCTACCAAGAACTTTCTGGAGAATATGTAGACTCCCCAACACTGCAGCCTTCTGCATTACCCAGTGTGTCAGAAGGGCTGTGCTCCCGGTGGAGAACCCGGGCACTCTCCTGATCTGCACCAAGAGATGAAGAGGTACCAAGGGCACCGAGAACAATGGGGAGCCTGATGACATTGTACTTGGGATGCAAGCGAGACATTTCAAAGGCAAGGTCCGCATACTTAGCATGCTTTTCCTGAATCTTGCCAATCACATTGATGTCAAAAGGGACAGACAATTCAATGATATAAATAAATTCATTGGCTTTATCAAAGAGGACAAGATCAGGTTTGTTGGTAGGAATTCTTCTGAGGCTGCATATGGGCCTATTCCACAGAAGTTTAAAAGCATCATTTTCCATGACGTCCTGGACATGTTCAGGGTCGTACCATGGATGGACCTCTAAGTCAAAGCCACAGGCATGGTTGAGGCGATAGTAAAAGCAATGAGCCATGCCATCATGTCTTTTCAGATATGATATTTGTGCCAAGGAAGGACATCCACTGACAAGGTGTTGGACAGTCTCTGAGAATTCATTGCAAAGTCGTCATTTCATATTGATATTTTCTTTAAGAATCACATTTTGGCGATTGCGTGTGGGAAGTGACTCGTACTGAGCAGCAAAAAGGAAGCCCTCAGTTTCACATTTGAGACCAGCCGACTTCATCCAGGTGAAGGAGTCGGTTGGATTGCTATTCTGTTCCACGCACTGCATGTACAAACAATGCATTGGCTTCTCAGAAAGCTTCTCCACAAAAGACAGACTCTGGGCAGACTTGGTGAAGGACTTTACCTGGTTTACTCCCATCGCTCCCATCGCCATCAACAAAACCAACCTCAAATTTCAGGTTTTGTCCAACAACCTTGGCAGGATTAGGATAGCTGTGGAATTCCTTGCTTTCATCGTGAGTCTTGACATGCATCACCAGAGGATCATCCGATAAATAAATATGTGCAAAAGTACACAATAAAATTCTATCATGAAGAGCATCTGTGTTGAGGTATGGTAACCCTCCTCTTTATTGAGCAGAAAACTCAAAGGATTTAAAGACAAACAAAAAGGCAAAGGACTGAATGAGTCCTCCTGGAAAATTCCCCTTCTGATTGGAATAGATTCCGAACTCTGCACCTGCCCTTGCGAGTACATCTCAAGTTGAGTCGACCAGCAACTCATTAAAGACTTGAGTTAATCAAGTAGTCACTCAGGGAGGTCAATATACTGAAGAGACTTCAGAATCCATTCGTGAGCGACAGGGTCGTATGCTTTTTTGTAGTCAATCCAGCGCTTGGAGAGGTTGCGGTGATATGTTTTAGCCTCTTCCAAAATCATTTTTTGTACAAGAAGTTGATCCTTGCACCCCCAACATACCTTTCTCGCTCCCTTCTGTTCTATATAAATTATATCATTGGAAGAACAGTAAGATGACACGAGGTTTGTCAAACACCCTGTGAATATTTTATATTGAGTATTCAAACATGTAATAGGGTGGTGGTTTCGGGGATCAGTCAAGTCTCCTTTTTTGGGAAGGAGTATTGTGCGACCTTTGCAGAACCATGGAGGAACATCACCTGTGTCCACAAGGGAACTGAAACAGTGGAGTAATGGTGTTTGGACACAGGGGAATAGTTTCCAATACCGGTTTCGAATGCCATCAGGCCCTGGAGCTGTATTAGATTTGGACTGTTTGATAACACTTTTCAGGCAATCTGGTGAGATGTAACAGACAAACGACCTGGTTAGTTTCTCATGCATTGCATGGTCATAATCACGGACCCATGGTGCACCCAGGTTACAGTCGCCGGGTACAGACCACAACTGTTTCCAGAACCTTTCATTGGCATCCATGGGAGGCCGATTATCATGCTCACCATCACCGTTTGTTTTCAGTTGCCTGTAGAAGTGTTTTTCATTATTTCAAAAAGTTTATTTTGTTCGATGAATTTATTTATATTTTCCCATTTTTTCTTTCTTTAAGTCCTAAAATATATTTTTGCCTTTAGGGAATCGACAATTTGGAGAAGTATACTAGGCACATAAAGAAACTGTGCATACAAAAATTTAAAATCTAAATTTATTAAACCTGTGTAGACACATAAGGATTTAAACTCAGAGATTAGTGACATGTATCCAACATGCATGCACGTGCCACGTTCCGTGACGTCAGTGGGTTCGTCCTTGAGCCGTGCAATACGTTGTTGCACGTGCATTCCGGGAAAGAGAAACAGAGCAAATGAATGCCACACAATACTGTCACTTTGGAAAGCTCAACCCCTGCCCATGCGATCGTTCAGAAAATTAAACGGCTATTGAAACGCATAGCATGCCAAGGCTCACGTCTGCACAACGTCATGAGGCCATTGGGATGGTCCGTGGGGGAATGTCTCAACGACAAGTGGCTGCACATTTCCACTGCCACCGGGACACCATTTCTGCACTGGTGAGACGCTACCAGAACACAAATGACGTCATCGATCGGCCACGTTCTGGACGTCCACGTGTAACAACGCCAAGACAGGACATATGGATAAGGGTGACCCATCTACGCCACAGGTTTCAGACTGCAGTGATAACTGCCCGAACCATCCCAGGACTTCGCCGTATCCATCCCAACACAGTTCGACAACGTTTACGTCATCACGGGATCAGACCACGACGTCCCGCCATACGGCCTATCCTGACACGTCATCGACAAGCTCGCTGAATGTGGGTCCGCAGACCCTTGTCTTGGTGGAGAAATGTTGTATTAACAGATGAGTCCAGGTTTAACATTTCCCATAGTGATGGACGTCAAAGTGCCTATAGACGCGTGGGAGAACGTTATGCACAAGCCATTATCTTGGAGAGGAATCGCTTTGGTGGTGGTTCCATGATGATTTGTGGTGTAATAACAGCACGCCAAAGAACTCCTTTGGTGATTGTTAAGGGCAACTTAACTGGTGTTGGCTACAGGGATCAGATTCTTCGACCTGTGGCAATTCCTTTTCTGTAACGTCATGGCCCTGGGTTAACATTCCAACAGGACAATGCCCGCCCTCATACGGCTAGGGATGCTATGGATTTCTTGCAACACCACAACGTTGACTTACTGCCTTGGCCTGCAAATTCACCGGATCTCTCCTCGATGGAGCATGTTTGGGACGAGATGGGTCGACGTCTACGCCCTCTTCCTCATCCGCCAGATAACGTCCAGATAACAGAACTTGAGAGAATCTGGCGTGACATCCCACAAGCCTTCCTTGCACGTTTGATAGGCTCTATGTGTCGTCGATACAATGCTGTTCTCAATGCCGATGGTGGACATACCCGTTATTGAGCTTGTGACATGGTCGTTTGACCTCTGTCCCGCTTGTGTGACGTCATTGTGACTGACTTTTCAATTGAAATTCTCCCGACATGTTATAGTCTCATGATCCCTCCATTAAAGTTTATATGTACCTTTGACATTGTTATCGTACTTATCAACTGGGATAATATTTTGACAATGCACAGTTTCTTTATGTGGCTAGTATATCTTTTCTTTGGTTGTCTTATACTGTAATTTTAATTTTCTCCAAATTGACTTTTGTCGTTTAGACATGGGATTCCCTGATGATCCAGGAAATGTATTTTCGAGTTTCCGTCAGTTTTACTTGAAACCAGTTTTTCTTTGGTGTATTGTTCTTAGTATTAGATGAGTTTTCTTTGGAAACCGTGTGAAGTTCCTCCGAGGTTTGAGCGGCAGCATAGACACAGCAATTAACTTCATGTAATGAACAGTCCGCAGAAAGTTTCATAGAAATAATGTCATTAAATAAATTAATTTCATTTTTGGGAAAAGATTCATTTGTTTGTTTGATTGGCCTCCGTTTTTCTAAAGGTATGTCAGATATTTCATCATAAATAGAATGAAACAAAATGTACACAGGGTTTTCGGAAAGATCTGCAACTGAGGAAGAGGAAGAGTGAGGGTCGGAAATTTCAGGGCCATTTGGCTCTATACCAGTAGAATTTCCATCAGGAAGAGGAAAAAGGTTGACGTGAACATCCATTAGAAGTTTTGGGTCTGCTGCCACTTGAGCATTCTGCTCATGCAAAGGTTCCTTTCGGGCTCCAGTTGTGGGTTGAACTGGTTCACGGGGCATGATATTTTTAAGCCACCGGAATTGATCTCGGAGCTTTTGCTCCGTCAGGAAAGCATACATGGGCATGCCATTGTCCCAATGCAGCTTAAGCGCCTTACTGTTTATTCGTGGATTATCAGTAGTGTGGAATTTAAATGGTTTGACCAAGATATTCTTGGTTGGGTTCTGTGCCTTCCCCTGGGGCAAATCCCATCTCCAGTAAGGTTGGTTAGGCTACGGAGGAAGGCTGACTGGGCTGCGGAAGTGAAAGATTGTACTCTTCTTGGCTGTTAGTAACCCAGTGAAAAAACAGCTTCGGGGGTCAGCCCTAACTGGATGATGTACGTTCAGTTCAGGGAATATAATTCCCCTATCTAGGCCCACCACGGAGAGGCACTAATTATTATTATTATGTTTTACCTGACGACAGTGTACTTGGAATGCAAGCGAGACATTTCAAAGGCGAGACCCGCATATTTAGCATACTTTTCCTGAATCTTGCCAATCACGTTGCTGTGAAAAGGGACAGAAAATTATAAACATAAATAAATGCATTGGCTTTATCAAAAAGGACAAGATCAGGTTTGTTGGCAGGAATTCTTCTGAGGTTGTGGGCCTATTCCAAAGAAATTTAAAAGCATCATTTTCCATGACTCCCTGGACGTGTTCAGGGTCGTACCATGGATGGATCTCAGAGTCAAAGCCACAGGCATGGTTGAGACGATAGAAGAAGCAACGAGCCATACCATCATGTCGTTTACGATATGCCGTTTGTGCCAAGGAAGGGCATCCACTGACAAGGTGCATGACAGTCTCTGTAAATTCATTGCAAAGTCGTCATTTCATATTGATATTTTGTTTAAGAATCATAATGGTTGAAATGAAATATAAACATGTATCTGTGGAGATATTCCGGTCGTATATTTTTTTATCCCGTCAAGATTATAAGTATTTTAATCTTAGATTTTAGGAATTTGCTCTTAGATCACTAACTCATGACACTTTTCGGAATGTTAAGACCCTTGAACCCACGTATTTTACGCTTTCCAAGAGAACACTATTGTTTCAGCACTCTTGCTGTCATGGTAGAATGGAGATGAACTTGCTAAAGCACCACTTTAGATAGAAACATTAAATACCACTTACTTTTATATTTGAAACCTCGCGTTAAAGTTATAATATGCTATATCTCATCCACAGAGGATTTACATCAAATTTCAAAACAAATTACACTCTTCAATTATTTCATGTAATTTCAATGGTAAAAAGGGTAAAAATTCACATGCCTGTAGACAGAGAGTTCGCCATCCTATATTGTTGTGTTTCTGGTTACTTGAGTCCACACGCTGGCGTCAAAGTCAGTACTTCGTATGTCCAATTAGTGCTCGGCACCGTTTCGGCACAGACTGGATAAGTCAATTTAGACGTTTTTCGAAATGTCCGAAGCAATTTCCAAAATTTAGAAGGAGAGTGTATGGAGTCAGTAAGTTTTTGCACCTTTTGTATAGAAATATCAGACTTATATTTTCTGTAATAAGCTTTATACTTGTTTCTCATTTTGCAAAAATGTTTTCTGTTATGGTCTGTTCGTCTACACCGAAAAACCCTTAAGGTTTTACGGGCGTCTCTCCTGGCAGTTTTACATTCCTTACTTAATTGTATTTTACTTGGGTGCTGAGATGACCTGAGTTGTTTCTTCATACAATCTGCTGAGTCTAATAACACACGAACAAGATCATCAATAGCTCCATTAACATCAAAATCAAGTTTTTGAGGAGATGTTCATAGCAAGGAGTTATCAGGTTTTTTAATTTACTCAAAAATGTTGCTGAAAATGAATCGTTCCAAAAAAGTTTTTCTTTGACATTGTTGACTGAATCATTGACATTAGAGTTGACATTACTGAATTGACAAGTCATTTCCAAAGGAAAATGATCAGAATCTACTCGATCTCCAACATTAAACATGTTTATAAATTGGAAAAAATCTGGTGAACAAATAAAATAATCATTCACACTAGACCCTTGTTGGCCACAATATGTAAATTCACCACTAATATCACCGTATACTCTACCATTCACTATATACAACTGGAGTGCATAACACACATCTAATAGCATTTGACCAAAGCTGTTAACAACAGTGTCATGAGATCTTAACGATCATCAATATGGATACGAATATTGGAAAATATTCATCAATAAAATGCATGTTATTGTTTGTGTTATCATCATCATCAACTGTGATAGGTACATTGTTCAACTCATCCGTACGTGCATTCATATCTCCACACAAAACGTTATATGAATAAGATAGTTCTTGTATATTGTCTAAAGAGAATTGTTCAAGCTGTTGGATGTTACATTTGGAAGTTTTGTTCTTATAATACGTTGAACCTGTTGGTGTGATATAAGTGCAAAATAGATTGACATCTTTGTTAGTGGAAAACAAATATTTTGACAGTTTTAACCAAATAAAATTATCTACGTCACATGTCATTTGTTTGTACATCTTTCTAAAACGTTCATGGATACATATACACACACCACCTGAAAGACGTCCATATTTAGACAATTTGATTGCAGGGCTATAAAATATATCATAACCATCTAACCAATTAATATTTAACATATCCTGGACAAATGTCTCCATGAGACAAATAACATGAAACTTGCGAAGATATGAAATAAAATCAGTGTCATCGATTTTATAAGATAGCCCATTGATATTCCAACACAAAAACGTGAAGTTTGAGTCGTTATCATCATCCGAACTATAGCCAGTGTTACCGGTGTTCGCGTTCTGCGAGCCCTGTGATAAATTATCCGGGCCTTGGCCGCTATCCTATTGAGTCCAGTTCATGCTAGTGCCAGTTTCTTTTTGGGGTCGACGTTGTGTCGTTCTAAGTCGGGGACGGACTGAACCCTGGTTATTATCACTTTGAACTGTCACAAGCTTTCCATTCTTAAAATAGCCGAATTGTCCTGTCTCCTTAAGGGCTTGAAGTTGTTGGCGTTGGCGAATTGTAAGGTCGCTTGATATGCCGTACCCAATCTCCCTTAGAATCGGTCTGGCTTTGAGGGCTCGAACCTTGTCCTCGGAAACTTGTAGTTTAACGATAATAGGGCGTGGCCTCGTCGCACCATGACGCTTAATCCCAAGGCGGTGGGCTCTAATGACGTCAGACGTTTGCCATGTTTTAAAGGTCAAGTACTTAGTAAATAAAGACATAATTGTGTCCTTACACGCCATCGACTTTTCACCTTCTGCTTCAGGAACACCGTGTATATTACAATGTTGTCACGACGACTAAAAGATTCGAGTTTATCAATTTCATCATCCATCTTGGATAGACGCTCCTGAAAACTCTCAACTCTTTCCGAGACAGCATCGAGATCATCGTACATAACGTCATAGTCATGTTTGGTTGTTTCAATAGTTGTTTTTAGTTCTTTCACAGAATCTTCCAACCTGTCACATCTCGATCCTATAGTTTTCACTTCACATTTCAAATCGTTCATTTGTGAGGATAGATCTGATTTAACGTCACGGAATTCTGACAAGATAGCATCCCTAACTTGTTCAAGTGAGGTAGGCCCGGGGTTCGACTCCACATCGTTTGCACACATGATAATCTGTGTTATAACACTCGCTGGTCGAGTGTCACCTCCGAGGAGACACATTCCACGTGCAATCCGAGTGTGGTGTATAGACAAAACCGGGTCAAAGGTAGAAGTGGTGACGTCACATGGCGTACACAAAAGGATATTTTCTTTGGGTTAAAAACTGCCAAAGTTCACTTTTTCAAGACAGTCAATTACAGCATATGATGTCAAAAGATGTATAGAAAACAGAAATGCACAAATGAGTATTCTGAAGTGGACATCTGTCCTCCACACGAAAGGCAAGTACTCACTCTCATGTTGTAGCATTACTTGTCGAGTTCCCCTGGGGTGGGAGAAAGATCCAATTCTGGCCCGATAGACATCAATAGACACCATTTTTGCAAAAAAATGTTCACTGTGCACCAAGAGCAACTTTGTCGTCAGTTTCAGACTTCATAAATCATATATTAGAATATATTTTTCGTAAATTGTCCTCAGCTTTGAGATCGTGTTGTCGTTACCAAGGGACATTACTCATCATGTCATGCGTGCTGCATGTGAAGTAGTGTTGTCATGCTGGAACAGCTCCCTCTGTCGGTCCATAATCGGAAGCATGTGACGCACAAGGACTGCGTTGATGTACCGATTTGCTGTCAAATTCCCCTGAACCACCACTAAATTACATCTTTGTGTGCTAGATATCACACCCCACACCATGACACTTTGCTCCACCGAATCTGTCGGCCTGTCGAATGCAATTAGGGGCAAAACATTCATTTCTCCGACGGTAAACACGCTGTCTTCCATCACGCTGGTGAAAAAGATTCGTGATTCATCAGTGAACCAGACTCACCTCCAGTTTCTAAGGTTCCCGTTCCGGACTCTACGACTCCGCCGTAAGCGATTGCGCCTATGGAAGTCTCTCAACAGGGGCGACAACTGACCTTCTTGGTCGAATCCCCCACTTCACGCAATCGATTCCTGACAGTTTGGTCGGAAATTCTTCTCAAACCAGGGATGCGTTGTGCAGTGTCCACGGCTGTGGCAAGACGACGATGCAAGTGAACAACCCGTCTGTTGGGCTTGGGTGGTAACTCTTAGACGGCCGCTTCTCGTGCGATCTTGGGTGGAACTTGTCGGCAGAAACGATCCCAAAGGCAGATATGATGCTCTGATAAACGTTGAAATGTCAGGCAACTGCAGACTGCGACTCCCAAGCTTCAAGTGAATGAGTGAGTTGGGTTTTACGCCGCTTTTAGCAATAGTCCAGCAATATCACGGCGGGGGGACACCAGAAATGGGCTTCACACAATGTGCCCATGTGGGGAATCGAACCCGGGCCTTCGGCGTGACGAGCGAACGCTTTAACCACTGGGCTACCCCACCGCCCCCAGCTTCAAGGCGGCCTATGGCTATGTTTCGATCCGCGGCACTCAGTCGTGGCATAATGATTTCCTCTTTTCCAGGCAAAAACGAATGACAAAATTAAACACAACGTCACACAAAGATGACATTTTGGAAAGAAATAGTATATTTGTATTGTTTTTGCCGCAGCTACATGTGTCCAGTGTTCTCAAAATTCAAAATCACCTTTGAGTTTCCTTTTTTGAAGAGTGTAGATTTATTACCTAATTGATTTATTTCCTAATTATGGCTACATATGGTCGTGAGTCGTGCTGAAATTCCATTGTCGAAATTTTGCAAAAACGTTAAAACGGCCATTTCCAAAATCTCAGCTCAGTATCTCGAAGAATTCAATTCCCCTCAAACTCGAACGTTATTCCCGCCCGAATCTCAAGGCCACCATCTTTGTTCGGATCGCCTTCGAAATCACATGGCGTGACCTTAAGTTCACGTCAAAAAGGTCTGTCGACACACGGTATGGGTCAGATCGATGAAGAAGAAAACGTGACTCTTTAGTGAAGAGGTCCCTTCTCCACTGATAGTGTCGTTTGTGCGGCTGGAAACGTCAACCTCGATATTTTGCCGTCAGGATTATCCATCAAGGCGACTCATCGCTGACGTTGTCGGAGTTGTTTTGCAGAAGTAAAATTAAACGTCTGTAGCTATGAGAATTGGTTTATGCAGTCTGTGTTGAAGAGGGGTCTCTGTTGTCTTTATGAAGGGTTATCAAGGCGTGGCGGCGACAACGGCTATCGTCTCGGACGTGGTTGTTCTGTTGAAACGTCGCTGTAAGTGCGATCGATATGGTATACCTGTGGATGTTGTACCGACGTGCATCGAAGTACCTGATTAAAGAAACTATGGTGTGGCATAGTGAAATGAAAACGACTGAAAGTTTGTTTCCGAGCTGGATACAATGTTATGAGATTGGATATATCTCCTGTCTTATGAAACATTTGAGTATGTAATATTTGTTGAAAAAAGGCAATACCAATGACAATTTGTTTGTTGTAGATTTTCGAGCTTTTTCATGAAAATGTGCTTGAAAACCACAAATGTTTAAGTGTCTTTTGCCTCTGAGTATATTGTACTTTTCCAAGATTGCCATGCATAAAGAAATATATAGGTCGTATTGCGTTTCATCCCACTTTGAAGATTTTGACGGTTACACGGTAATTTGACGTCATACGGTAATACAATACGGTATTGTACTATTCGTTACTGTCGTCGATTTCTTTTAGGTTTATTAAAAATCTCATAAATGAGGTCGGCTACATATAAATATAAACTTTTGATATCTTTCAGTTTTCTGATTTCGTGGCACAAGTCACACAGTTTTCGAAGAGTCCACCATATCAGCATTTACAACATGATGATTCTTACCTTAGAAAGTATCTCTTTCCACAACTGTTCACAACAAACGCTGATCGAATAGAACCCTAGGCGAACAGAGCTGTATCTGTGGTCAACTCTATCTGTGGTTGTCAGCTGTTATCTTTGGGCACGTATAATAAATGCAGTCGACTGATTAATGGATTAATGCACATCGATTGTGCTTGTGTCCATGTTAGACGGGAGATGTTGTTAACCGCAGCTACGACGTCTGCGTGTTAAAGTCAATGCAGGCATGACCCTGTCAATAGGGTCTGTTATGATGTCAGTGTAGCCGTGACATTATCCTCGAGATGTGTTATGATGTCAGTGTAGCCGTGACTTTATCCTCGAGATGTGCTATGATGTCAGTGTAGCCGTGACTTTATCCTCGAGATGTGTTATGATGTCAGTGTAGCCGTGACATTATCCTCGAGATGTGCTATGATGTCAGTGTAGCCGTGACATTATCCACGAGATGTGTTATGATGTCAGTGTAGCCGTGACTTTATCCTCGAGATGTGTTATGATGTCAGTGTAGCCGTGACTTTATCCTCGAGATGTGTTATGATGTCAGTGTAGCCGTGACATTATCCACGAGATCTGTTAGGATGTCAGTGTAGCCGTGACATTATCCTCGAGATGTGTTATGATGTCAGTGTAGCCGTGACATTATCCACGAGATCTGTTAGGATGTCGGTGTAGCCGTGACATTATCCACGAGATGTGTTATGATGTCGGTGTTAGCATATCAACGATGCATCGGGTGGTTATGCTCGGTTGGTCATGTTGGTGGCGTTTTACAGAACCACGATATAGAACGTTGGTTACGTTGGTCACTTACAGTTACAGTTATTACACACTGCTGCAGGGCTGAGGTGTTAAATCAGACGCCTTTCAAACTCTCAAACATTCAGCCTAGATAGGG